ATGAAGTTATAACCACCACTTGATGACTTTAGTGAGGCATTGTATGGTGTACTAAGTCTGTACATGTGTTTCTGTGTGTGAAAAAAACAGCACCTAAGCTAAACAGAAGAGAACAGAGCTAAACCGAGTCTCCTCCTAACGGTTTGCTTCAGGTGTATTTTATGGAGCACTTTTGAAAGAACTTTTTGTTTAAGCCCCTTGGAAACTCTTTTCAAAACCCCTGCGCAGAAGTGCTGGAGCCTGTGGGCCACCTTCCTGCTCAGAGCTTGCATCTTGTAGCTCACGTCTTTCCAGTACAGACTTCAGGCCATCAGATCAGGTGTTCCAGACCCTGCAGAAGTCGTTTGCCTTGGTGGGAGGTGGAGGAGCTTGAAATAAATGAGAATTTTTACAGAAAAGTGTTCTCTCTCTATCCCAGTACCTGTTCGTTCAGCTGTTACCACACACTGCTGACCCTTAACTTTGCTTTGTGCCTCCTGGTTGCTCTGCTCTCTGGAGGCATTTATCCCTTCTCTTAGAGTCACCTTTGTGTTCTGACTCATTCACTATTGTGTTTGTGGTTAATTTTATGGGGTGAAGCAACTGGGATAACCTTGTGAAGATCAAAACAGAGTACTTTTAAGTGACACACAGTTACAGTATTAATTTTCAAATACATTCAGGAAAAATACTGACATTCGTTTGTTCTTTACAGGAGCATGCTTGTTTTGAAAGATACGCAGCAAAAACTTTTCATGATAACATAGTTAATCTATGAAATAACTTGTTCATTTTCAGAAATTTTGTTTTAAAAGAACTACTCTAAACTGCCAGGATTCATGAAGCTGTTCCCCAGAAGGCATCAGTCTAATCCAGAGCCCACTAGAGTCCGTAAACATCTTTTTGTTTTGCTGACTTGGTTTCCAGTAAAGGACTGAGTTATGAAGCATGGTGACACCTCTTGGTCATGCTGACTTACATCTGTAGGATCTCCTTGCTTCTCAGGACCTCTCTTTTTGTGGTTCAACTGTAGTCTGCCGAAATAACTTTGACTTTCTTAGCAAGTGTTGTTACTCACTGCAAGGCTTGACAAAATTTCTGCTCACTTTCAGAGCTAGGCCATTTAGTGAATTTGCACAATATGAACAGCGTTGCCCAAAATGTTTACAGTGAACAAAGCCATACCACTATATTTTTGGCAAACAAACAGCTATATTCTGAATACTTGCAGGTTCTTTTAAATAACCACTGCATCCTTTCCCAGTAGCTCTCTCAGGGGCTGCTGCGCAGGCTGATGGGAAGGCTGCTTTGCGCAGAAGTGAGATTTGCCACCAGACAGGGCAGCCTGTTCCATTCATAGTGCCTGCAGGAACTGGGTGGGAGCTGATAGTTACTTCTTACCATACAAGTTACTTTATACCTTTCTTTTAACATTTCAACCAGAAATGAGTTATTTCTTAAGCACTCTGCAAGGCAGCACCTCTGAAATCTTGCCGAGTTTGGGATTTACCACCCCACTACACACACACAATACCTGCTACCCCATTCCAAATGCCAGAACGAACACAAGCACATGTTTGAACATAAGGCATCCAGGCTCAGGTTGACGGAAAGCCAAGCAGTACACGGATCACATGCAGCAAAGCTGATCTTTTGCTGCAGTTATTGTTTAAAACCTGATTATTTGTGCAGGCTGGATTCTGAAACATTTGGTTTGGAGCTGGACGAGCAGAACCAACAAACTGGATGATTGCCCGGTGTGCTACAACAAAGGCAGAGAAAGAAGGAGCCTCTGGTATCATTCAAGCGCTTGACTGTTTTTTTTCAGCAGGTATTTTTTCAGTTCACAGCAGGCCATTGACACCAGAAAGTGCAGCAACAGCAACCTCAGTGGTGAAACTGCCGATGTTACAATCGGAGGGAGATAAAGCGAAGTGGAGTGGCAGTACCAGGAAATGGCTGAGACATCACATGACAGAGGATATGCACTCTGTAGCAGAGGGACGTATTTACTTACAGGCTAGACTTCCACCAGACTCGACCAAAAGCAGTTTTAGCTAGTTATTTGAATTACCTGACCCACTTGCAGTAGGAAGTCATTATATAGATAGTAAATACCTACCCCACCCTTGGTAGGCAGACAGAGTCTTTGCCAAAATGGTCTAGTTCAGCTTCGCAGAATATAAAATATTGTACCTTTCTAGTTAAAGCTGTCATTGCAAAGACATTAGAAGCTGCTGCTGTTCCAGTAAACTGCTCCACTTCTTGGCATTCGATCATTGTGGAGAAAGCCTCTAGGATTTACCTCCTACCACCACCTGGAACACAAATCATATGCAAAGAATAAGTCGGAAATTTTTCTTAAGGTGCAAATCACTTATTTCTCCCACTGATGAGAAAAGCTCCCAGGCCCTCTGGCAGTCAGGGAAGTTGCCTGTGACGGAGGATACCGATAGGAGCTTTACACAACCATTCATTTGAAGTGTCAAATAGAGACTCCAAGACAGTTTTTCCTAAACTTGTTTTATTTTCTTGTAATGAAAGCTGTAGCTAACTTAGCACACATAACATGCTTGGTGATTAATTATTGTTAATTGATGGATGGGTTTAAAATTTTAAGCAAGATGCTTGAAACATTATCTACAAGTTATCATTTTTTAAAAAAATTATGTTGCTGTTATAATAATTCGTAACTGTAAATTCTTTTCCCCATAAATAGATGAGATTTCACCAAAATCTGTGGCCTGCACCAATGTTGACCTTTAGCATAACCCTGTAAATTATCACCATAATAAGACTCTGATCTACTTACACCAGAATATAGTTGGAGAAAGTCCATGAAAAGACAGCAGGTTTATACTAATGCAGCTAAGAGCAGGTCTGGTCCAAAATAGATTTTAAAGCATTCAAATTAGAATGATGATAGCCTTTGCCTGGGCTGTAGGAATAGGTGATGATAGAAAAGGAAGAAGAGAAGAACTGCTGATAGAGGAGTCTTGTCTTCTAGTGCGCATATATCTCAGTTTAATTTTGCTTATATTTTGTGGGACTTCTATATTATGTGAGGTTTATATTATGTGAGACTTCAGATACTGATACTTAAGATACTGGGATGGGCTGGAGCAGTTCATTTAGCAGAAACTGAAGTGAAAATTTTATTTCCTTCAAAGGTCACTTCTCAGAGTTCAGGGGGTAACTTTTCATTTTATAAAACCAGGGGACAATCTTGCTTGTCCTCCTCTGCAAAACCAGTGACTATTTGCTGAAGTTGACCTGATCTATCTGTATGCATGGGGCTCGTGTATTGCTGCGGAGTTCTCTGTGCATCGCATGCTTGCTGCCTGGGTTGGATAGGCTTAGGAGAGACCACAGCTAAGTTAAAAAGCATTTACGCTCCTATTCTCCTGGATCATTAGTCACGTATGTACGGTGTTAAGGACAATGTGTCGCATTGGGCTCAACAGGGGATTTTAATGCACTAAGGCAAAGATCCATAAAGGACGTAGGTACCCAGCTCTGAGGCTGGGATTCAGAAGCCTTAATTAGGACACTGCTTTGCCTGCACAGTGAGTTGGGAGAATTCAGTGTCTAGTAATAGGATTCACATGTACCAGTACTCTGAGCAGGGGGATTGAGTTAGCGAGCTGGAAAAATGTTGAAGAAAAGGATATGTTTCTGTGCTTCAGTTGGTACCTAAGCCCTTTTCTCAGATCTGACCCTGAATGCTGAAGTTTTAGTAATATGTACCAGTCAGCCTGTGTTTACAATTCCACTGAATTTCCTTAGGGAAATAAATCAAAGTAAACTTTTTTTCATTTGACCCTGTTATTACAGTAGAAAGCCTAACACCAAACTGCACTGGAGGCCCAATGCTATACTGAAGCCACACTTCCCTTGTTTCCATTCTGCTTATGAACACCCTTCATCAACTAATCACTGTTTGGCACAGTATTAAATTTAATCACTGAACTCCAAGACATTGTAATGTGTCTACCTACTCCATGGTTCCATTTGGATGGAAATTTTCTATCTCGTTTAAAGACTATTAAAACCCTGCCTTTCTTGTGCAGAACAAAAGGGTATTGTTTACTTTGTTTTTCGTTATTTTCGTATTCAACAAAAGATGATTATTCTGTCTCCTCAGTGCTGAGATCCCTGTGAACATGTAGACCTCCTCTCTACTTGCTTTTCTTTCCCCTGGGTGACTACAAAATAGAAAAATTTCCTTCTCACAGAAGCTTATGGTTGAAATGCACAAAAGCAAATGTTATTTATCTAAACTTTCAAGGCTTTTGTAATGAAGGTATTAATTAAAAAGTTGATGTGAGGCATAATTGAATAAAGAAACAATGTCACAAGACACAGCAGAAGCAGCAATGAGATTAACACACAGTTATGGTTAAGAATTAATCTTTCATGAAATAAGAACAGTTGTTTCAATTAAAACCTTTTGACCTTTTAAAAGAGATGCAGCAAACCCACAAACGTGTAGTTGTTTGGATCCTGTTATTGCTATCACGTTGTAACCTAAGGAGAATAGCTTTTTGATCCTACAACTAGGCAGCCTGTGGGCAGGAGAGCAGGGTTCTTGCTTTTTGAGAGCTAGTAGCCCATTCACAGTGGGTTGACTTTCAAAAGACCCATTTATTGAATGACGCAAGGTGCAAATTATGACTCACTCTGCATAGGTTAAGTTTGTAAAACTGAACCTATATTCATCTTCCTAGCACCTACACAGCTGCATAATGTATTTATTATCTCTGGGGTCCCATTAACCCTTTTAGAGGCTTAAAAGTGATCTGCAATACAACCCAGACAAATTGATGTTCTTAGCTAGTGAATTGAAGTTTTTTATCAGTGGTCATCTAGTGAATGGCAGATTTTCCTCTCTCTGGCCAGGATTAGGTCACAGAGTGGCCCAGCAGCCTGGGTTTCAACATTTCCTCCTGTTCTAACAGCCCTCATAAAAAATACGTTGATTGCTGGTGGTGTTTGCTGATATATTACACTATGTTTTCCAGGTCTCAACCAGATGAACCAGGTACTCTTCGATCTCTTGAGTCCTCTACTGATCTTGCAATGATACTGTAAGTAATCGTTGTTTATTATAAACAGCTTTTTAAGCAGAAGTTTGGTGCTAGTCCAGCACATTTTATTAGTTGAAACATTTCCTTGTATTTCCCACTTGTATCGCAACCTACTTTTTATGGTAGATTTAAGGGTATGGGAGCAGTTTTGCTGCGTTTGCAAGGCCTCTAAAAGGACAGAACCACCTCTTCACCTTCTCCACCCATCTCCTTCCCTGTCTTCCCTCCTTTCAAAGGCAGAACATCAGGAAGTTTGGAGATTCAGATGTGGTTTCTAAACCTGTGTCAGTGAGGAAGGTCTACTGCGCTGCTGGAAGTGGTGTGCAGCCACTTGTTCCTGTATTTCAGCTCTCCTTCCTCTCAGGAAACCCAGACTTAAAGGGAAGGAACACCCCAAATGACCCTTGTACATGTCATTGCAAAAAATGGTGGTTGCTTAAAAAAAGGGTGTTACCTTACATGCAGGGCTTCATTTCTCCACCTATTCCTCTACTGCGCATGTTACAAATAATGATAGCTATTACAGGACTGGCTGTATGGGACGCACACTGAGAAATGTAGCCCCTCTTTCTTTGACCCCTTGTCTGTAGTCCTAACTCAGCAGAATTTTCCTTGTCTGGTAATATGGCCGGACTAGAGGAGGGACTGTACCTTCTCTTATTACTGTGGGTGAATAAATACTGCAAAAAGCCTTTCTCCAATGTTGAATCAAACACTGAAATTAATTTACTTCCTCTCTGTTCATAAATACTATGTGTGTCAGCTTTCTGCAAGCCACGCTATGCTAACCTACTTGCAGAGATTCCTATGAAAAGAAGTGGCAAAATTGCATGTAGGATTATTTACAGCAAACTAATGTGAAAAATGAACATTGGCCAGATAGATACTTGTCTGTGTCTTCACTCAGGGAACACATATTACCCTGCGACTTTCATGGTCAATCACATCTAAACATAAAATGTGAGTTTCAGAAAACATGTAAGGAGCAGATTGGAAGTGACTATAAAGATATATATGCTGTTGTTTTTAAGCCCATAATAAAACTTACTGAATACTGATGAATAATAGATGCATTGAAAGGAAATTACGATCTGCTCCTGCTTAATCCTTGAAAGAAAAAAGCAAATTCGCTTATGAATTCTCTGTAACGGTTTATTCTTTAAGACAGAACAATGGAGGCTTGGTACGAAACTCACTGGAATCAATAAAAAGACCCCCATTTTATGCCCCAAGTTTGTAGCCTACACAGAAGTCTGTTATGGCAGCTGCCACCTTTACTAACACACCAGGGTTCGGACCAGGTTCCTCTAGGGCTACAGCAGTAACGGCTCTTAAGTCTGGCTGAAACAGTCTGATATTCCCTGTGGATGGGGCACAGTGGTGGACCTGTAACACGCACTCACCTGTGCGTTACGTCACTAAGTCTAGTATGTGCTGTTCCAGTTGTAGCTCTTGTAAATTAAGCAGAGAAATAAGCTGCTTTTTCACTTCATGCCACTGCTGAAATATGATCCAAGCCTCAGGTAGATTCCAGCTGTGATCTTGCTCCTTGGTTATGAACATACATTTATGTTCTCAAGACATTAGAGCTCCTTCTACACAGGCAAAAATTGTAAAAACAAAATGAACAACGTTCTCTGTGTACAGTAGAGTTATTTAAAGTGCCTGAGGGTTTGAACATAAGCAGACACTGTGCTCGCATACAATATAAGCAAGACCTCTGAGTTTTGGCATTTAAAATGACAATTAAAAATAGAGCAGGCATGTTTCAGCAACTTTATGGGACGTCATAAACATCCAGAAAAGGATTCCAGACAAAAGTAAAGATTCACAATAAGGATTCTTTTCTTCTTTTTGTTTCCTACCTCAGTTTTTAGTGTGATGTGTTGTGACGCACCAAAAAACTAATGAAACAAAAGTAAAGGGCAGAAGGTGTCTTGCTCATTGGAAGCTATTGTAGGACAGAAAATGCTTCTTTCAGAGAGTCAGAGTTTACAATCTGTATGGCTCTGTTCAGATAATTGTTTTAGCTTCCTACTAAAAAGCCCCAAACAAGTCTGGAAGGTGAAAAACACTTTCCTCAACACAGAAACAGACACAATAGACTCAAAATCTCTCCCTGGCACAAGTTTGCATACCATGACACTACCTGAATTTTCTTGGATATATTTACTATAGGAACGATGCTACTGCATAGTCAGTCAGCTATTCCCACTGTAGCCTCCTGACAGCATGCCATGGATTATGAAATTTTGTGTCGTATCATGTACCTTTAAGCAACATAGTGTTTACAAATTTATAAGGCACATCCTGTTGTGAATGTGTTTTAAGCATTAAGCTAAAATGAGAAGAAGAACCTGAATCTCAAGTTAAGGATTTAATTACAAGGCCTTTCTTCCTCAATACTTTTTTTCCTGCCACTTGTAAACCCTTTGACAAAAAGAGTTCCTCAGCCTCTTTGGTTTTTTGTATCTGAATTTCTCCTTAATCTACTCCTTAATCTCCAAAATGCCTTGAAATGTTGTTATGACATTGAGTGGAATTTCCTCTAGGATGGTCAGCTCTTCCCTAGCCTTAAGATGGGAGACAAATTGCAGTTTGTTTTTAGATAGTTCTGAAATCCATCTCTTCTCTTTATGACACTTTAGCAATGTGTTTTGTTCTGTGCATGCATTGAAACCACATAGCTAGCAACTGACCCACCTAATGATGCTCAGCCAAAACAAATGCCCCCCCAGCTTTCCTGGGTTTCTCTCAGTCCGCCCCCTCACCATAGGAGTAATGCGTGGCTCCTCTATTTTTTTTTCCACCTCTCACTTTTGCATTTGGAAAAAAATGTAAAGTCTTGTAGAGTTTTTGGGGTATTTGCAGGGAATTTACCTTCTTCCGCTATGCAGGGGCCAAGGAACAGTTAGTCTCTTCTTTCTTGCCACTGGACACCAGCATTGAGATTGTTTTTCAGGACTCAGGGCTAAGTGAGCATTAGGTTCCTGCCACCCCTGAGTTAAGCAATGCTCTGCATTAGTGATCCAGCGTCTCAATCAGGGCAGGAAGTGCATAAACCAATCCACAGGGACTGGGAACGAGACATCTGCCATAAAAGAGGGAGATAGAAGGTATCTTAGGGTTACATTTGTTTCCTGTGGCTGTGCATTTGCTTTGTTTTCATTTTCCTTTCCCCTCCCCCTTGCAACAATTCAAGACTATGTAGGAGCTCTTTTTTCCCCTTTACCTGTATTTATTTCCTTTAATTAGGCAATAATTTTGCAATCTGAGGGATTCAGAGGCAATCCCACTCTCCCTTTCTACCTTGCTAGTTGTAGCCTCTTGTTCCTAACCCTGCCACAATTGCAATGCCATGCTGTGAAACAAAGTTCAAAGGTCTTTTTTTGTTTGTTTGTTTTTTACCTTGCATTCCTTCCCTTTC